TCAGAATAAATTTATCTCTGATGTATACACACACACACACACACACGCACGCGCGCGCGCGCGCGTCAAAATTAATAGCTATCAAAATCTACATGGGGAAAATTTAGAGTAAAAAGAAGTTAGGACCTTTTAACTTTCCAAATTCAGTGTATCTGCCTGCAACATACAAGCAAAAGTTATTTTCCTCTGACAGCTGGCTGCAGGCTACTGATTTGTGGCTGAATGTTGCCCCACCTCTCCATCCCTCTTCCCTGTGGAAGGAGCAGTTGCTTGCACCAAGATGCTGGAATGCATCTGCATTTTCTCTGAAACCTATCTGTTGCTTTAATATTTGAGTCATCTACAAAAAGCACACCCTGCAAAATCTCAGCTGCCACAATTTTCCTATACAATACAGAATTCTGTTCTCCTACCAAATACTAACCTAATCTCTTTTGTTCTTCTCCCCAGCTGGCGGACACGGTGAGTAATCTTTATTTACAGGGTATTATAATCCAGCCCAAAATGTTATACATCTGGAAACATGAATTAGAATTATGTATTGCCTTCCAAATGGTATAAATTGTACCTGGGCTGTCTTTGCTGCCTCATACTGGTAGCACAGAGCTGCCTCCAATAAATCACTCAGTTTTAGCTGAGTCTCACAGCTGTTTCTCAACAACTGGTTTTGATTTTTTTTTTTTATTACTATTTTAATGACTAACATTACCATATCTTACTGTTGGGATTCTTGTAATAATAATAAAAAAACCCCTTCATTTTCTATTTGTCATGTTGTCTCTGTGGCTTAGAGGTTAGGAATTAAGATCCAGAGGGAAAAATGTGTAAAATAAAAGTAGAGATAATCAGATAGCAAGTAGGCAGAATGTGCAAGCTGAGGTAATGCTAAAATCCATGAAGTTCATGCCTGATAGTAATTACCAAGCTGGTTTAATATCTTTCAGTGTTAGTTTTTAAGTCTTTTTACAAATGCCTGTTTCCTATTTTTGTACAAATTCATCATCCCCCTCTTACACTTTTATATCCTTATGCCTTTTATGTAAACGCACTAATCCATGCCCTCTGATTGCTTGTTCACTCATTCAACGAATATTTGTTGAAAGCCTATTATGTGCCAGTCTGTCCCAGGAACTAGGGACACAAGGCTGAATAAGGTAGACATCATTCCTGTCTTTGGAATTTTCCATTCAGCAGGCAGAAAGAAATGCAAATGCAAAGGCCATGGGCCCAGACAGACCTGGGCATTTTCTAGGAACTGATGGAGGCCCCCTATGACTGAGACATAGTGAGGGTGGGGGAGGGTAGCATTTGTAAAATGGGGATGCAAGCAAAGGGCAGGTCAAGCTGAGCTTTGCAGGTTATAATAAGGCAGCTGGGATTTATTTGAATTGTACTAGGAGAGTATTAAAGAGTTTACTGAAGGTATGAAGGAGGAGCATGAGCTGTTGAACAGTTCTTTGAAGCTTACTTGGGCTGCTATGGGATAAGTGTAAAAGCCAGAGGACTAGTTAGGAGGTGTTGTGGTGTTTCAGGCAAAGGTGACGGTGTCCTGGACGAGGGCCACCACTGTTATGTGTCAGTTCCATGTCAGTGGTGTGGTTTGCCTCCTTCCGTTCCATCGTCACCTGCTCAGTGTCTAGCAGCAGCCATCAGTATATACGGCGTGACCACAGAGCCATGCTGGGCTCCGTGTGGCGATCCATGCCTTGAGGAAGGCCGGCCCAGTTCCCCTACAAGGCAGCACAGCGTTCTTCAGCGTCCTTAGACCCCTGGCAGCCTGCTGGATTTCACATGATGCACTTGGCAAGTTGAATTAGCCCTTTGGTGTTTTTCCGGAAAACTTGGATTTGTCTGCATCTTCAGCCAGCACTGTGACTCTTTTTTCCCTTTATCTCTAAATTACATCTGAAGCTAATATGCTGTCTTTCCCACAGGCAAGTAACAGCCCAAATACAAAGTTGGTGGAACCACTTCTATGTTTGTTCATAATTCCTTTTTTACTGTAAAATTGACATGACCTTAATTTTTAAAAATCTCTGCTACCCCACTAAATTAGACTTAGGGGTTACCAAGTTCTGTCCTGACTCCACTGAGATGCACAGTTTAATTTGGAGTAGGATGTTTATTCTTACTGGTCCTTTTGCCTGTGAAGGTCACAAAGTCCGGGATCAGAAAGATAACAATCCAGCACTGGGAGGAGGGGCAGTGAGACCCAGCTGGCCCTGGCAGAGGGACACCCCGCCCTCGGCCAGCCTCGGCGGGAGCCAGCAGGTCTGAGTTCCTGAGCTCCCCGTGAAGACCTGGTGGGCCTCACGGTGTGCTTATTATCTTTGAACATGACTTGCTGGCATGTGAAGGAAGAGGAGACAGCCTTCCAAGAGAAGCACATCACTGAGATTTACTTTAACCAACACATCTCAATATCAGGTCTCTCCGCCACTATTGAAATTTGTCGTTCTTTTTTTTTTTTTTTTTAAGGAGTTGTATGCTTTACTTTCCTTTTTTTTTTTTAATGCTTTTGGAAAGGCAGGAGAAGTTTATTTTTATTTATTTTTTAGAGAGAAGGGAAGGAGGGAGAAAGGAGAGAAATATCGATGTGTGAGAGAAACGATGTGTGAGAGAAACAATGTACAACAGAAACATCGATTGGTTGCCTCTTGCATGCCTCCAACTGGACACCTGCCCACAACCTAGTGCCTACTGTCTTTGCGTCTAATTGTCTATTCTGCATAGTGCATGTCACTTCTCTTCAGAGCTATCATACCCATTCCTTTTTATCCCATTACACGCCCTTATTAAGTAATAAAAATAGGTCTTAGTTTATTTTACTGAGTGAAGATCGAGCAACAAACATGATGCCATTGATCCAATCTCTGTAAGTAAAAGGAAGGGCATATCCAGGAGTTCTTTATCATTTACAAGGGATTCAGTAATTAATTTACAAATGTCATTAAAACTCAAATGGAATTGCAGACCTTCTGTTGTGCTTTATTTAAAAGAGTGATTTTAGAGTAGCATTTTTTTTTAAGAATTCAAGATTTAAATATTTAGTATTTTGAATGTTTTTCTATTTAAATTATTAATACCTATTTAATGTTTAAATACCTGAATAACATTTAAAATTACTTTGTTTTCTATTTGTCTTTTTTCTTTCTTTTTAATGCTGCATGATCAGGGGCATGTTCTTGCTTTTTAGGCAAACCCGAATGCCCCGTGCATCCAACCGAGCTGGTCTTTGCTTTGGACCAGTCACAGGATGTGACCAAGCAGGAGTTCGAGCAGATGAAGGAGATGATGTCCTCCCTGGTGGGGAGTGTTCGAGTCCGGGACAGCAGCTGCCCCGTGGGCGCGCGCATCGCCATCCTCTCCTACAACTCCCAGGTCAGACAGCACATTCGCTTCTCAGACACTTACAAGAAGAACCGCCTCCTCAGGGAAATTAAAGCCATCCCCTACGAGAAGTCCTCAGACGGCAGGGAGATCGGCAAAGCAATGAGGTTTATCTCCAGGAATGTCTTCAAGCGAACCTATCCAGGAGCTCACACAAGAAGAATCGCCACCTTTTTCAGCAACGGCCAATCTGCTGATGCCCAATCCATTGCCACAGCCGCCATGGAGTTCAGTGCCCTTGACATCATTCCGGTCGTGATCGCCTTCAACAACGTGCCCTCCATCAAGCGTGCATTTGCGGTAAGAATGTTAAGCCTTTTACGTGACTTGTTTGGTGGGGCAGAGGAGGGATTATAATCAGAAGCCTCTATCAGAAAGAATTATACTGTTTATTACTGTTACCAGGCACATGTTAAGCCCTTGATATGCATTATCCTGTTTAATTCTAAAAGGTACTATATATCACTTAGGAAAACGGAGTCTGGAGAAGATAACCCATATGCCCAGGGTCACACAGCCAAGAAGTGGCAGTGGCAGGACTTGATCCCAGGTTTGCTATTCTAGTGCTGAAGCAAGGGACTTCTCTGAGTGGCATCTGGGTTAAAGATACTCAGTCAGGAAGGCCAATAAACATTCCTGGATGCCACTTTATGGCCAGAGTAGTTATCGTTAGTCGACCATGAAAAGCAATTGACTTATTTTATAACTTCCTCAATCACGTAGTTATCCAAATGTTATAAAGGAAAAGCCATTCTAGTTATAGCTTCTTAGGTTGAGGATTAAATTCTTAGTCTGTAGCATTCCTAAATAAGCCTCGGATCAAGATGACTTTTTTTTTTTTAAATTGTGGTATAATTGACATATAACATTATATTAGTTTCAGGTGTACAACATAATGATTCAGTATTTGTATATATTACAAGATAGTCACCAAAAAATGTCTAGTTAACATCTGTCACCATAAGTAATTACAAAATTTGTTTTTTGTTGTTTTTTGTGTGTGTGATGAGAATTTTTAAGATTTACTGTCTTGGCAACTTTCAAATGTGCAATACAGTATTAACTATAATCATGCTATACATTACATCCCAATGATGTATTCTTTTTAATCCTCATCTAAGCATATGTTTACTGATTTTAGAGAGAGTGGAAGAGGGGGGGGCAGAGAAAAACATTGCTGTGAGAAACATGAATGTATTGCCCCCCATATGTGCCCCAACTGGGCATTGAACCCACCGCCTAGGTATGTTCCCTGGCTGGGATCAAACCTGCAATCTTCTGGGGTACAGGACAGTGCTCCAACTGCCTGAGCCACATCGGCCAGGGCATATTTATTTAGTAACTGGAAATTTGTATTGTTGGCTCCCTTCACACATTTCACTCGTCCTCCCACACCACACCTCTGGCAACTATCAGTCTGCTCTGATATCAGTACGAGTCTGGACTTCGTTTTTGTTTTTAAATTCTACACATAAGTGAGATCCTATGACATTTGTCTTTGATTTGTCTGATTTGCTTTACTCAGCATAATGCTCTCAAGTTCCATCTATGTTGTCACAAATGGCGAGGTTTTATTCTTTTTTTATGGCTGAATAACAATTGCATATATAGCGCTCACTTCGGCAGCACATATATTAAAATTGGACCAATACAGAGAAGATTAGCACGGCCCCTGCGCAAGGTGGACACACAAATTCATGAAGGGTTCCGTAATTTTTTTTGGACTTTATCTGTGGTGACTAGTTGGAAGAGAATGGGGTATCTTAGACTATTTTGAAGCATTGAGTGGCATGCTGGGATCTGGGTGTCTGAGGAATGAATGTGGAGACAGTAATTATAGAAAGCAGATTGTAGGGGAGGGCTTTTGGGGACTCCAGGCTAAGACCATGCCTGAGCTAGCTCTCCATCCAGGACTGGAAGTAAAGAAGTGGCTTTCACGGGCTCCTTCTAGAAGAGGGTTAGACCTAGAACAACTCATCATGACCTGATCATAATCTATCTAATGCTCACACTTGAAGTCAGCTGTCATGTCATACTTACTCAATGAGATAAAAATGAGAGAAGAGGCAAACAGTTCTTTAAAATAGGTGGAAAACTTGAAACACCTTTTTTTCAAGTCTGAGAACAGGTGAGAGGGTTACAAAAAAAGTATATGCCATCCATTTTTAATATGTTTGCTTCCTTCCTAAATGTACCCCCTTTCCCTTTCAACAAAAATTAGGTTAAAAACCTATTGGGTGGGTACTTTTGCCCGTTGAGGAGAAATTTGCATGGTTTAGGGTCATTGGGTCCTAAATTTAGTTTCATAAAGGATCATGGCACCTGGACTTGAAGACACTGATTTTTAAACTTCCTCAGGCTATTAGAGGCTGTTGAGTTCTGGAAATATGATGATAATTCATTGATACAAAGTATCACTTCATAAAATTAACCTAAGTGTAAAGATAAACTATGGAAAACTAGTTAAGAAAGTTATACATGGATCGAGAAAGATGGCGGAGGAGTGAAAGGGAGTCACACTGACCTCCTCTCAAAACCAAACTGGAATTGCAACTAAATAATGGAGTAATCACCTGGAAAGCAGTGGAGCGATAGTGGGAGAGGAGCCTTGGTGCCGCGGACAGCGGATTCGACTCTCACACATCCCAACGGGTGAGAATTGCGGTGGAGGCTCGAGAGGGTGGGCTGGGTGCGCACGGGCACTGGCACCAGAGGGACATTGAAACAGCCAGTTAGCGTCCCCCCGGGAAGAACGGGGTCTGAATCATAAACAGGAACCCCTAAACTACAGCCGCTAAAGCCGAGAAAATACAGACAAAACGCAACCCCAAAAAGCTTAGGGGCACTCTCTGCCAGAGACAAGTGGCTGGGGATGCAAAAAGACATTTAAAGGGCAAACGCAAAAGTTGCAGCGGCAGCCACCCTCCTTGATCGCTGGGTACAGGCGGCAGCAGGGTGGGCTGGTGCCTGGGAAAAGACTGGTGAGGAAAATTTTGTGAAGAGAACTGACTCTGCGGCCGGTGGAGCCCGGGTGATAACGCACTTCCCACTCTGCAGCTACCATCTCGCTCAGGCATAAGGGAATCAATTAACCTGCCTTTTGTGCGCTCCGCACACAGCTTGTGCGCCTGTGACCTGCGGGGCTGAGTGCAGACTGTCTGGGAGAGCCTTGAGGAGAGACTGGAGACAGTGGCGTTGGGGAAAGAACGGGAGGAGGAACCGGGGAGTCCCGACTCCCTCCCCCGTTCGGTAGTCTCCATTGTGGGCTGGAAAGGCGCGACCCCAAAGAGGCAGAAGCGGGGCGCGCATGAACCAGACTGCCTGCGATTGAAACGCAGTCCGCACAGGGGTTGGATCCTCAGCCGAAGGGGACACAGAACTGCCCAGAGGCCCCTGAGGGGGAGACTAGAAACGGAGGCATTGGGGAAAGAACGGGAGGAGGAACCGGGGAGTCCTGACTCCTTCTCCTTGCCGAAGTCTCCATTGCGCGGGAAGAGGCCACACCCCCAAAGAGCCAAAAGCCGAAAAGCAAACATAAACACCCCCAAAACACCCAGAGCAGGCGCGCACACTTGCGCCGAGTGACTGGCGAGGGTTGGCGAGCGTGTGTGTGACCCACCCGGGCTGGCAAACGCTTGCACCTGCCGGCAAGGCCTCACACAGACTGGCACCCATACGGCCTGCGAGGGATTGCACAGAGGGGCAAGGGCAGGCGTAAATTGACCCGCCCGCCGCGATTGCAGAGCGGCCCACAAAATAAGTAGAGCTGCCCAGAGTCCCTGGAGGAGAGACCAGAAACAGGATTAACCGGAGAGCTGATTTCCTCCCATTTCCATAGTCCCCATTTGGCGAGGGCAAGCAACGCACCCAAAGAGCCAAAAGCGGGGAAAACACACAATAGAAGACTCTAAACTGACCAGTGCCGCGAAGCTCGCGTGCCAGGGAGGTCAGATGAGCACGGGAGGTCGCGAATAAGCCCTCTGGTCTGGGGCAAACACATGCGAGCCCAGGCAGGTGGGGGACCCTGCCGCGCTGGGAACGCGCTCAAGGAGCTCTCGTGAGAGCGCAGAGAGATCCCAAAAAATAGCCCAGCCCTGACCGAAGGGGTCACAGAGCTGTTCCAAGCAGGAGTCAGACACAGGCATTAGACTCCTGAAAGGCTCAAACAAACAACCCAAGGCCCTATAGGGTCAACAACTGACATCATCAGAGGCAAGCCCAGAAAGAAAAGTAAAGGACAAAAATACTTAACAGACTCTCACAAAAATGGGAAGAAAAAGAAGTTCTCCCCAAATGAGTGGAAAAGGGGACTCCCCACAGAGAGAGCTCAATGAAATAGAGGCAAGGGAACTATCAGATATGGAATTTAAAACAATGGTTCTAAGGAAGCTCAATGAGCTCAGCCAGCTCAAAGAGAACTATGAGAAACTGCAGAGAAACTATCAGGATCTTACAGCAAACTATATCAGCCTGGAAAAGGACATAGAAACTATCAAGAAGACACAAGAGGATATGAAGAATACCATTTCTGAATTGAAGAACACAGTAGAAGGAATCCAAAGCAGGCTGGATGAAGCTGAGGATCGAATCAGTGAGATGGAGGATAAGGTAGAAAAAAGCTCCCAGAAAGAGCAAGAAATGGAAAAACGGCTCAAAAAGAATGAAGAAGCATTTAGGGAAATGCAGGACAACCTGAAACGCAATAATATCCGTATAATAGGGATACCAGAAGGAGAAGAAGAGGAGCAAGGGATAGAGAACCTCCTCGAAAAAGTAATGATGGAAAATTTCCCTAATTTGAGGAGAGAAAGGCTCTCATGGATCCAGGAGGCACAGAGGACCCCACTCAAGAAGGACCCAAGGAGGTCCACTCCAAGACACATCATCATTAAAATGGCAAATGTCAAAGACAAAGAGAGAATCCTCAAGGCAGCAAGGGAGAAGGAGAAAGTAACATACAAGGGGGGCCCCGATACGCCTAGGAGCTGACTTCTCAACAGAAACACTCCAAGCCAGAAGGGAATGGCAACAAATATTCCAAGCCATGAAAAGCAAGGGCCTACAGCCAAGGCTGCTCTACCCAGCTAGGCTCTCCATTAAAATAGAAGGAGAAATACGGAGTTTCCCAGACAAAAGAAAGCTAAAAGAATACATCTCTACCAAACCAGCACTCCAAGATATGCTAAGGGGACTGGTTTAAGCAGATGAAGGAAAAGAATGAGACGGAGAGGAACACAAGTACAAAGAGAAAAGATGAGTAAGTTTCTATCAGTAATATCTCTCAATGTGAATGGACTAAATGCCCCAATCAAAAGACACAGGGTAGCTGAGTGGATAAGAAAACATGACCCACACATATGCTGCCTACAAGAGACCCACCTCAGAGCAAAAGACCTACACAGATTGAAAGTAAAGGGATGGAAAATAATATTCCAAGCAAATGGACATGAGAAAAAGGCTGGCGTTGCCATACTTGTATCAGACAAAGTCGATTTCAAAGCAAAGGCCATAAAGAGAGACCCAGAGGGGCACTTTATCATACTTAAAGGAAGAATCTATCAAGAAGACATCAATATTGTAAACTTATATGCTCCCAATATAGGAGCCCCCAAGTTTATAAGGAAATTGTTGGATGACTTCAAAAAAGATATAGATAGCAACACACTGATAGTAGGGGATTTCAACACCCCACTGTCCAAAATGGACAGATCTTCCAAACAAAACATTAATAAACATATCGTGGAGCTGAATGAAACACTGAATCAAAGAGACTTAACTGACATATATAGAATCTTACATCCCAAAGAAGAAAAATACACATTCTTTTCAAATGCTCATGGCAGTTTTTCAAAGATAGACCACATGATAGGACACAAAGCAAGCCTCAGTAAATTCAGGAAAATTGAAATAATACCAAACTTTTTCTCAGACCACAAGGCCTTGAAACTCGAAATCAAACTCAAAGAGAAACTTCAAAAACTTGGAAACTCATGGAGACTGAACAGTACACTTTTAAACAATGAATGGGTCAATAATGAGATAAGAGAAGAAATCAAAAAATTTCTGGAAACAAATGAAAATGAACAGACAACTGTCCAAAACCTATGGGACACAGCAAAGGCGGTCCTGAGAGGGAAGTTCATAGCAATACAGGCTTACCTTAAAAAGATAGAAACATTTCAAATAAAAGACCTAACACTACAACTTGAAGAACTGGAGAAACAACAACAAATAAATCCCAGAGCAAGTAGAAGGAAGGAAATAGTCAAGATTAGAGCAGAACTGAATGACATAGAGACAAAAAGAACAATTCAGAGGATCAACCAATCCAGAAGCTGGTTCTTTGAAAAGATTCATAAAGTGGACAAACCTTTAAGCAGACTCATCAAGAATAAAAGGGAGAGGACCCAAATTAATAATATCAGAAATGAAAGAGGAGAAATAACAACTGATACCACAGAAATACAAATGATCATCAGAAACTATTATGAACAATTATATGCCAAGAAATTTGAAAATCTGGATGAAATGGACAAATTTTTAGAAAAGTATAATCTTCCAACACTGAAGGAGGAAGAAACAGAAAGCTTGAACAGACCGATAACAGTTGGGGAAATTGAAGCAGTAATCAAGAAACTCCCAGCACACAAAAGCCCAGGGCCAGACGGTTTCCCAGGAGAATTTTACAAAACATTTAAGGAAGAGCTAACCCCTGTC